CGAAGTTATGAAGGATGGACCTTTCAAAGGAAAAAGAAAATTTTTAGAAAAGGATTTCTTAGCAGGAACGGATTTCCGCAAACGCTTGAGGGAATTTTTGAAGCGCGTACTCATAGTTTTCTAACACAGGCAAATTTTTACAAGGAATTTTTTTGGAAGAAGTCACGAGCACTGGAACCTTGAAAAAACCCGAGCTTTCAAGAAATTGGCTTCAATTGTGTCCCTTCAAAAAGTCCCAACGAGACTAATTTTCGAATCGATAGTTTTTGAATAAGTTTCAGCATATTTTAGAAAGCTTCAGCAATTAAATTAGTCACACTGGCTCCCCAAATTAATGTCTCTGAAGGGAGTTGTGATCGTTTGAAGGTTGAAAACTCGCATAACCCGGAAAAAAGTACAACGTGCTAATTTTTTATTAGATAAACTTTCAAGAGATATTCAGTGATTTTTGAGAGCAGATTTGGATTTTCCTAATCTTCTCTACCTTGTCGCACAACCTCGAATTTGAAGGAACTTATGACCTTCGAGATAGACAGGTGCAGCCTTCATTGAAATTTAATTTGAATGGGGCAGGAACACCAGGTAAAACGGGAAAGACTCCAGTAGACCGGAGTTTCTCCTCCGTCCATATGTAATGATAACGTTCATACACTCATGTTCACAAAGAGGGGGCGTATCAGAACCTCCGAAAAGGGGCGAGAGGTCATTAAATTTCCAAAAAGTACCATCGGTGGCGTTGACCCGCAAACTACCTCTACCAGGACCAGACTGGTGAGCCATGTGTCGAGAAAATTTGGCCAAAATGACCCATCCTGCCCCACTTAGCTTCTTGATTTCAAACAACTCACCTCCACCTTAAGCTCCTACTTCGATTTGCTTATTTCCATCAATAACTATTAGGTTGTCCCACAATTAACGAATTACTAGAATTACTTCAACTATTTTCAGAATTTTATTTTTTTTTGGTATTCATCTGAACCGCTTGTTCATCCAAACATACACATCTACTATTTTCAAGTATAGTGGAATGGAGTAGAATTAGTATTGTACATAATAGCATTGCTCAGAAATGAGAAGCTAGACGTCGCCGATCCTCTAGAATTCAAGGGACTTCTGCTCGAAAAAACACAGGATGTCGGTTCCTAGCTCAGTTAATTTAACGTGAAAAAATTTCTCGAAGGAGAGCGCTAGAGATCACAGTGAATGGTCCTTTCGTTGCAAGAGGCTCGCGCTATACGGCGGAGTTGAAAGAAGCGCTGTGTTTTCAAATTTCTCACGACTTTTTCCAAAGGTTGGTTCGAATGACCTCAGAAAAAAGATTGTCTTGCTATACTTTTAGTTTGAAAGCATCGCCATCAACCTGCTGACGTTCATCAATGGCCCAGATGTTATTAGAGGCCGGTTCCAGCAAAACCTCTCTCGTATTCTACCAACAATTCAGAAAAATCGAACATGGAGGAGGTTGGGCTTCTGCTGTCAGAACTCGGGAATCGTTTTGGCTGGGCTTCTGCCGCTTGTTGATTTAGCCAGCGGCCTAGCAGAGGTAATACCCGCGTCACCCGCGCCATCTAACTCTAGCCGTTTAGCAGAGAGCGATAGCGTTTAAGAGGCCAGCATCGATAAGAGTTCCCGCTTCTTTGTCGGTTAGTTTCTGCATCAATGCAGAAATCAACAGGCAAGGGAAGGGTCTCACTTCTCGGGTTCTGGGCCGTTTCTGGGCCGCTCTCACACCTTTGACCATCTCTACCTTGACTTTTGAAGTGCTGCCTTTTCATCATAATCTCCGCCTTCAAAGACACGCTCCGAGATTAGGCTTACTCACCTGTTCCATCCCGATCGTAGTAGGCAGGCGGACAAGCGTTGATGTCGCGCCCCTTTTGCGGCTTGAAAGTGCGCGACAAAGGCGCAAGGAGCTCGTCCGACCCGCAATCCACACCTTCGTCCGCAAGCCCCGCCTTCCGCTGTCGGTTGCCACGCTGCTTGAAAAGCGCGGGCGCAGTTGCGGCAGCGGTTGCATTGCGGTTCAATGTCATTGGCACTGGAGCAACTGGAGCTAGGTTCGTGAAACTCGTCCAACACGCCCATTCTCCTCCCAAGATGGAATGCGGCTGAAATATAGGGGGTTCTCATTCGGGCGTAATCGGGGAGGGAAGTTCCTTTGCCTTCTTTTTCCAGACCACTCCCACCATCAGCACTGAATGCTATTCCACACCCATCTTCCTGAGGCTTGCCTTCAACACATCGGAAACGCTCTGAGAAATAGAGGCTAGTCTGTCCAGACCCATTTTCAATGGCGTCGTGTAGAACAGTGAGATTGCCAGCCGTGAAGTGCCTAGAGTGAGGATCATCTTCAAACAAAAAAGCCAACCCCGGAATAAAGTGAACTGCTGGTGCAGTGTATTGAGGTAGCATGCTCTCGTCTATATCCTTGATATCTTCGGCAATAAATAAAGTGATTTACTAATTACAGGATAACCTAATACACCTCAATTTCTTCAGAAATGTTCACCGAGTGGATATAAATTCCGTAAAACGCAGGAAATTGCGTAAAAATCTGGATGACCTTCGAAAAGACAGGTCTGAACTCCCTTCCAAAAAGGTACTGGTTTCATGGTCTACATACGCATTATACCCCATCTCAAAACTTCACAAACATTGAATGCGCATGTTGATATCAATAGGACTGAATCATGATCCAGATGCAAGCGAAAGAGTCGAGGGAAAGGTGCGAAAGGGTACAAACATGTATATAAGCCTTAAGCCTTACTCTGTCCACATGAAAATCATAGAGGTGAATAAAACTCGCTATGAATCTTCAAAACCACCGTATCTACCATATTTATCCATGTCTGATATGGAAAACACTGAACGATTCAGAAAACCCTAAGAGGCAGGAATTCAATGGCAGCGATAAATAGTAATATGTAACACTAATAGTTTAATGCCCATCAAAAAAAAAAACACTGACCTCTTCTTCCGATAACCCTATTCTCAACAATTTCTTCTCTTGCCATCCGTCCACCATAAAGGCGTCCGATTCACCTATCACTATCACATTACTCCTTCTTGAAAACATCCTATCTACGCCATGAATGAGATCACGTAAATGAGCCATAGTTTTACTCAGCGAATGAACAGGCGGACAGGTGAAGGCGGTAACATAACCGACCTGAAACAAACTCAATTCAATAAAAAACAACAAATTAGCATCGCTAACTATTTCAATAAAAAACAACAAATTAGCATCGCTAACTATTTATTTAGACATTTTTATTCAGTCAGATCCTTTCCTTCTTACCTCGTCGAAAAACATTTTGTTTGCTGCTATCGTTATATTACTGGGAATGTGGCCTAATAATTGTCGAATAGCCTCCTCAATTATATCGGTTATACCAGCAGAAAAAATTAACAACGGTATTGACAGCTCTTCGAGTAGATAAAGGAATTGGCGCATACTTTTCCTGAAAGAAATCGTTTAAACTGATTATGCGCCTTTTTAAATTAATCATCAACAGAAGCCAAAACAGGACAATACAGAAAGCGCTATGACAGAGAAGTAAGCCTGGCACAGCCAACACATCTGTTCTGCACACTTTTTGTTCGAAGGCACGTACTTGGATAAAATGTGTTACACAATGAAAACGAGACAGTTGCTCTTTTTAGTTGAATTGGTAATTGGAGCTACTCCTCAAAAACTACAAACCTCCAAATAAGCCTAGAATTCCGTACCAAACTAGGTATGTCATCACGATGTACCATGGAGCGAACTATAGTGTCATGAGAGGCATTCCACCTAAAAGATTCTCTTTACCAATACTTTTTCTGTTTACCTCATCGTTTAAACATAGATGCGGGAGTGTTGAAAGGAACAGTCAAGAAACAATCAGATTTCAAGAAAAAAGTGTCAACTCGATCGCAGAAATGAGAAGATCAAGAGAGTTTCAGTGAATTCAGCTACCCTTGCCTCTGATGCGCCAAATATGAGATTATAAAAGAAAAGCCACATATTTGAACTCTTGACAAGTAGACTCAAAGACCTCACACCTCAATTTCTGGACAATTTTAGAGCTCAAAGGTTTTTCATAAAATTAAAACAGATCATTCGAATAAAGTGTAACAAGGCTAGCCAGATTTTGACGTATTTCAATTTTATTTGATAAGTTGACGTCTATCACCCTGTGACCAATAGGAAGATCGAAAAATCTCAAATAAAACGGGAGAGACTCTCTAATTCCTGCATCGAGCGTCATTCGTAAGGGAGGAACCAAGAGAAAGAGCAAAAAAAAACAAACTGAGTGACTTGCATTAATTATTCATTTACCATATGAGAAGGCAACGTTGTTAACACATGAAAAGGATGAGCAGCTCTTTGCTATGCTGTTTCATAAAAGCATTAAAAATGAACACTAATAACTCGCCATCCAGTTTGCACATACGCTCGCTCCTCCTCTGTTGTACAATTGGACAGCGCCGTTTCGTAATTGGCGTTCATTCTATGTTGCTGAAATATCTCAAATTTTGCGCTGTAAAAAAAGCTTTAAGTACAAATGGTGCACAGTTACTTATAATTAGACAGGACTGTTCCATAATAATTCCTAGCCGCAATCGCATGATCAAACTATAGATTAGAGACCAATTTAGTCATCTTTCGGACGCAGCAGAATTTTCACCCGCCCTTTTCTCTAACTGTGGAATGAAATTTTGAGCTTAAAGCTCAAAATGAGCAGCTGAGAGCGCTAAAAGAAAGTGAATTGATGGGAGATATCAGGGATTGCTCAAATCCGCTACTAAGGGAGCCGTAAAAGAGAATTCATTATGAAATGTACCCTGCTCTCAAAAGAATAAGCTATGAAAGTCAAAAAATACCTTGTTTTGACGACCTTCTGTCTCACTGTTTTTGATCAGCCCATTAGGGTTTGAGATAGTGAATTCATAAAAAATAAGATAATAAGCCGTAGAAATTTCATTCTCAGACAACTCTTCCAGTGCTGATAATGTTTTCAATTATTCAACTGATCTGACTTGTTATTCGACTTCACAAAGGGGGGTCTTTCAGGGCAAGCCGCGCTTTTTGGAAACGGTTTCTTGCATATTGTAGGGACGCATGTATGGACCACAAAACCATGTTTCGTTTTCGCTGAACGGTTTTAGTAGTATCAAAAAAGTGGTGAATGATACCCTTGATGGTTCAATCCCCGGTCAAGGTTGGCGGCCACTTGTTGGCTTCAAAATGGTCCTGACGATGAATTTGACATCTGATTTTGATATTTAGCGCGATTTGGCACCAAACCGTAGGCGCCAACCCAAATGCAAAATTTAGTCGCCATCAAGAGTATCATTCTTCACTTTTTTGGTACTGCTAAACCGTTCAGCGAAAACGAAACATGGTTTTGTGTTCCTACATGCGTCCCTACAATATGCAAAAAACCGTTTTGAAAAAGCGTGGCTTGCCCTGAAAGACCCCCTTGTCGAGTACGACTCTGAATGGTAAAAACATCCAAGCTAGGCCTACATTTTTTCATAGTACTCCATTTGTTCCAAATCACTGCAAAAAACGAATCGAGACTCACCAGAACTCCTAAGGAACATCCAGTGCTTTTGACTTCTTTACTAACGTCAAATACCTCATGAGTCAAGCATCCCTGCTCGCCATTATCTCCACGCCGCAGAGTCAATGTATAGTCAAAATCGGCTACTACCTATATTTAAATGATTATTACTGGTCTGACAATTTCAAAACAATTCCTATCAGCCTCTGGAACTGAAAGGTGATGCAAATTTGACCATATTTTTTATCGCTCACCATTAAATTTTCCTTTCCTTCTAGTCGAAATTCGTTGAGAAGAAATGATGCCTGCCCGTAATTGGAGCAGTGTAACCCGTATAAAGCTTGCACCATATTTTGATAGGGTTGCGCAAAGGTGCAACACCGAAGACCCTGCTGTAATGCACATGTGAACTAACGAGCACAGATAGATGTACAAAAGCTTCCACTGACGCCGACACTTTTTTTGATTTGAGATCAAATGAGGTAAAAGTGGCGAACTGAAGTTGCTCTCTCGTATTGGACGGGCCCGCCAGCGCATAAATGTTGAGAACCAACATCGATCAGCGCAGACAAAACGGAGGCCTCTTTCAAGTTCATGCGCAGATAGACCCGTCCAATAAGAGGAAGAAGCACAAGCGCTATCAATGAGGAAACAAAAAGCTTACAACCTCATGCAAATATTGAAAAGCATGCCACTTTACTTCATTAACCCTCCGGCCTACTGATGCGGTCTTTAGCCTCAGCAAACATCGCTTCATTTCCAGCAGACAGAGGACTTCATACGCTGGGGAAAATGGATCAAGGTGAACAACCTCAAGAAAAGCAATTTTAGTATGAGCTTAAAAACTTCAAAAATGGACACTGCCCTTCGAAGCCACGAAATGTGCATGGCACAAAAAGATGGGTCGATATCAAGCGAACAACCCGCGTATCAAAACATGTCCAGATCAGGATTTTCCACAGCCCAAACGATTAAACCCAGAACATCTTCCCCGAGTGCGAGCAAACCCAATCGTCTCACCTACGAAAAACACTGTATAAAGTGAAAGCGTACTCAAATGCCTCTACACGCGATTGAAAATCGAAGTCGCGAGCGTCCGCCATCCCTAGGGAATCTTCTTCAAGCACTCTCAGTGCTTTAAAAACGCATTCATCAAAAACAAAGAACAAGAAAGGGACTACGAGGGGCACAGGTACCCCTCCCCCTCCCCACCTATTCCGGACTTACTCGGAAGTGCCTTACAAGAAGCACTTATTCATCTCTTCATCATAGCATATAATAAGGAACAGCGAGGACACTCCTTCGATACCTGCACTGAAAACATGTGAGAATGCCGATTTATTGTTCGGTAATTAACATAGTAAGATCAATGTCGAGGAAACATAAACCATAATTCATAACATTGGAAGGATTGATTAATGATGTTGAACATGAATTTTAGAGACAGTTTTGGATCAGAAACACATCATCGACTCAAATACAAAGACGAACGAGGGAGACTTAATAGGCTAGAAATGACAGCGCAGAACCGTCGTACTAGCTCTGTACAATATTGATAGAGAAACTTGTTATCAGATTAACTCATTTCAAGCACAAGTCGCATCAATAGAATTGAACAAGTGGTAACATTCCACTAAGAATTCCTATCAGAAGCGCCTACGAGGACTGCGACTCCTTCTTCTTCCACCTCCACCAAAGCTGCCTCCACCGAAGTCACGACCACCTCCAAAATCTCGACCGCCTCCGAAGTCACCACGGCCTCCACGACCTCCACGCATCTCACGATCTCTGAAACAGTGTGAAATATACGCGAAAGCTAGTACTTTTCTTCTGATAACAAAAGCCACAGAGGAATGAATAAGTCAGTACCTGTCTCTTCCACCGTGGTATCTTGGAGGGCTTCTTTTGCGTCCCTTGTAGAGTTTACGACGAAGATCACTGGAGATTGGTTTCAAGTGCATGAAGTTGCAGAACGCACCCTGAAGAGGAAACGTAGAAGGCTACACATCCCAACCGAGTAGTTATAAAGAACAATGTGAAAAGCGCAGGACACGCGGACCGATGCTGATTTTCTTACATCGCGATGCTAGATATGTGACTCTCAAAGGGCGCAACAAATCAGACAAAAATTATGGTTTTACTTTGGGACGTATATGTCACACTAGCACAAGAGCGCGGTACATTTCTGCCACAAAGTCTGAATACAGCAAATACTCTTAGACGTGTCTGTACTTCTGCCTTGCATGCAAAATTAATGATTAAAGCTTTTATAGGTGACGTTCACAGAGAGTGTCTTCAACTACTGCAAACAAACTGCCAGTCATACAGCTGCGCCAACATTGCAAACAACCGAATGGTTCTAACCAGTGGAGGGGAGGGTTGCAAACAAAGTCATATAAAAAGATTTCGAGCGATTCCATGAATATGCAATAAAAACTGAAAAATGGTTTCAGTCTGATTCCCAAAGGTGAATAAATTTTGCAATCCTTAGATTGCCATTCCATTGTACTGGTGAAGGCCTGAACCTTTTGCCCATACAAAAATATTTTGATATGCATCGTGCATATCAAAATATTTTCCGCTCGAAAAAAAACTCAATTCTTGAACGACCTTGCCTCGTTGAAGTCGTTGTTTAAAAATGTTTAAGATAGCAAGAACTGACCTTATTGCAGCCACCAAGTTCGTACTGACGGCAACACGCTTCTCGAAAATCAGTAACAGGTGATAATTCAGCATAGATTGCTTGTCCGTTGAACCTGAAAAGAATCAGTAGGAATATTCAAAAAATGATATATGATAAATGTATTTGAGTCTTTACCATCTATTATCCAAAGCTTTTACACATTTTTCTGCATCTTCTTCCCTAGCAAACTTCACATAAACATTGCCAATCATGTGTTCACCAATGTTATCGCAAACCTTAAAGAACATTTTAATACAGCTGAAGTATATCTGCTGTCATAACAGTCGTACTGCGAACAAAAAATCAGTGGATATCGTAGAAGAACAAAACTCACCTCCATCTCTTCGATTTCCCCATACTTGTCATTAACTTCCGTGAAGATTTCTTCGAAAAACTCATCAAAGTACTGTTGTTCATCTTTGTTCATCATGCCAACCTCAAATTAATATTTATCAGTTAGTTAATGCTAAATAAAACTAGATGGGAAATAACGGAAATCATCTCTTTCACAAAGAATTTGAGCAAAAATAAACAAAGAACTACACTGATTTCACGTTAAAGCCATACCTTAGTGCAGGCATCGGCCTGGCGCATATCAATGACAGGGTTGTGATACAAATTCTTCAAAAGAACTGTTTGTGAAAAAGTCGGAATGATGTGAGTACGCGAACATTTGTCTCCGTGTCTGCATGCACCAATTTTGAAGAAAAATGAGCAATTGACCTAAAATTTAATCAGCTCAATGACAGGTTACGATTTCTATGTGATATGGATAAATTTACTTTGGATGCCGAAGCTAAAAGAGAACGAAAGAAAGTTTTAAAGTTGGGAAATCGAAAAGAGAAGAAAATAACGATAAAGCAGTTGTAGAATAAAAAAACAAACACACCTTATCTTTTTCTGTACCGTAAATGGAGGCTAGGTACTCCGCACCAGACATCCTATCTGTCATGTTCGCCATTCTGAAGAAACTCTACAATAATATCTGTAGAACGCTGCTGAAAAGCACAGTGGTGATGTTAATAAAGAATTCAGGAAAGAACATCAAAGAAGTTACAGCGTATACAGTGTACTGCAAACGATTTCTATACGACGAAAAGTAGAAGTGGGAATTTACTTCACAAGTATTTCACATACACTGTAGCTAAATGGACAAGACCTAAAAATCTTCCCTTTGAACACAGTTTCTTCTTCAAAACCTCCAACTTTCAAGTTCCCACAAATAAATTTCAGCTGACAAAACTCAAATTCAACTGCTCATTATGCAAACGTACATTCACCTGTATCAGAAGACCTTTTCAAAAATCATGAAGGTGTAGTGAAGATATAAAAAGGTTACGGGGGGGGGGGGGATAAATAAAAAAATATTCGATCGCTGTACGTATAGAATACAGAAATCTTAAATTGCGCTGTAACCGTATCTAATACCAGAATCTTAATTTTTCAATGACTATCTAATGAACATGAAAAAAGAAGCCAAATCACTAACATCAAACATAGGAAACTGCAAGCTTTTTTCATTATGCTAGTATAAGTAGATATCACACGCAACCTGAGCTCGGAACTCCAACAATGCGTGTTTGCGTCACATTGTGCCGCAGGATCTCTCTGTTCCGTGTGGCGGCGCGTTGTAAAACTCTAGCTTTTACTTGTTTTGTTTGTTAACTGCTGTTTTAACGGCCGCAGTTCGCGTTGCGAATGTTTCACAAGAATGCTGGGTTGTGAACAAAACTTTCGCCCCAGGCGGGACTAGAACCCGCACCTCTCGCTTTCCGGGCAAGTGCGCTACCAGTTACGCTACCGGGGCACCATTTCATTCCAACTCAGCTTTTCATGGTATACGTACCATAAAAACACTAACGCACTCAACACGTTAGCCGTGTGATTGCTGAATCTTGGTACGTAAATAGCGCATGAAAAGCTGACTCAACGAGTTGACTGCCCAATGGTGGCCCGTAGCGCGTAAACTGGTAGCGCAACTTGCCCGGAAACACAAAGCCGAGAGGTGGGTTCTAGTCCGCCATGGGCGAAAAGTTTTGTTCACTAACCCAAGCATTGCTTGTGAAACTCTACTTTTAACTTGTGCTTGCTTCTATTCTCAGAGAACAACCCAACCAGCTGCAAAAATCCAAATCATAGAAGTTTTGGCGGCAAATGTTGGCTGAAGGGCCAGTCGCCGGCGCAGGCTCAGCCGTGTAGCTATATACTGGAACATCCAGAACACTTTCCAACATGTTCTCTCATGGAACATTCCAACCTCTTAGCAGAAGTTGCCGTCACCGCCGACTCCACTGAAACTTGGCTACATTCGCCCTGGCTCAGATGTCGGTCAGACTCTGCAATTGTTCTAGTCGGCGATGGACAGTGCAGAAATTTTTCGGACGCAGATCGCGTCCATCGCTTTGTCCACCCGATGCCCCCGCCCACATCGATGCAGTCGAAACCGATATCGATCGCGGCGGGCCATTGGCGACTGCATCGCCGCTTGCACTTTTGGCAGAGCGATTGCATCGCGCGATGCAATCGCTCTAGGCAGAGCGACTGCATCGCGCGATGCAATCGCAGAGTCTGACCGACATCTCACTAATTTCCTGTTGCCGCAACGCCGCGCGCGGCGGCTGCCCCCCCCCCCTCGAACCACATTGCGCCGAAGTTTTTTTTTCAATAATGAAGAACAATAACAAAAAGAAGTAAATGAACATCAAACCCCGTAGAAAACGTAGGCACTGCTACCCTGAGGGGATATTGCCTCGTGTAGCTTGATCGCTTTAGGTAATCGTACTAGCACATGAAGTGGTTGAAAGGACCGTCTATAATACGCTATACGTACGCCACTTCTTCGATTTTCTCTGTTGCTTCAGTTTTCGGTGTGAGCCAGGATAGGAATATTGTGAAAGGAACTAAAAGGAACAGGAGTGAGAGGGTCATTATCTCTGGCTCACTATGTAGGTGTGCATTAGTTGTTATCCACTTTTACAACGCTTATCATGATATCAAATGCCTTGAGTGTACAAAATGCCTCCTGCCCCTCACCATAGAATAACAGTGCCAAAACACCATCCCAGCCCCAAAAGGATCACATAAGTCACCATTAAAACGCGATTCCAATTTCGCTCAGCAAGTGATTGTTTCAATTCGAATATGATATGCACACTATATTCCGAGGAGTTCATCTCTACTATTCGAAATAAATTCGACTAAAGAGCCTGTTTAAAGTCGTTCGATCCTGGAACTAGAATAGGTGTTGACTAGTGTGGCATGCGATCATTAAAAAGATCACCATGAATACACAGAGCTGTTACTGCTTCTTCGGAAAATAAAGGGGTCTACTTGGTGTTGAGAAAATCTTGCTCTTCGTTATCAATTTCCGGTGAGCTAACCGGAAATTATATTTAAGCCACTGAACCTTTCTCTCTATAAATATTTCTGATACCACTTATGCAAACAAAGCAAATAAACATCAATTATAGAACAAAACCAAAGGCACAATTTTTACGAGAGAGTAATAACAGCGAAAGAGAAATGCTCTAGTAGAGAGCCGAGACGATGAGACCTTCCTAGCACGGCCATCGCCACTCTAGAGGATGCTACTGGTATTGGTGATGCTATTCTATTGAGAGAAAGGGGAGGGGTAGAGCGCCAAGGTAGGCTGTAAATAAAAGAAGGGAACAGAGCCTTGAGCGAATTAATGTTCAAGAAATGCGAAAACCCTTCTGCAGAAGGTAACCTATTCGCCCAGCCTGAAGCTTTTTTGCCCGTAAGTAGGAATCAACAAAAATCGACACCCTCACAATCGCTTCATCGTACCAAGTATCATTCGCAATTAAGAATCGAAGAGTTGATGTGAAGACACTGTACATACTTTTGTAACTACCGGAATATGGCAATCAGCACGAACTA